TATTTATTTTTTTATTATGTAATATTTTGCGGAATTTTCGAAAAACTGCGTTCGGATACTTTCTTCCAGGTACTGTACATAATTTTTATGGTGAAACTTTAACAATACTTTCACAATATTTGTGAATTCCACAATGTCCAAAGCGGGGCTTATTTACCATTAGTGAATCAATATACTCATATAAGTTCAACACTCGAAACTACATGCCAATTAGGAACAATGGTTAAAAAATTGCAAATAAAAAAACATGAAATAACATATGCAGTGATATATTGAATTATGGTTTGTTACCTTAAATCCAAGCATTGCATAATAATATATGGAGTATCTCTGAGCTTGACTGCTGTGTTAGGAATTGTGAATCCATCAAATTGGTCAACTAGATAAATATCATCAACATGATGCATTGAGTAGAATTTGAAATCTTTTTCTTCCCAAATGAAGGTTATTAAAGGTTATCATCAGAGTGTTAGATATAATTATAATGTGACATGTGCATTATTACTCACTATAAACTAGAATTCCGAATGTTTCCAGTTTCTCAAGATCTGACTGACTCATTAACTTTTCTTTCTTTTAATAGTTGCTGAAGTTTGAAAAGTGATAATTGCATGTATATTACAAATTAAAGGTGTTAATGATGATGCCACAATTTCAACAAGATTAAAAAATCAAATTTTTATTCACCTTTTAACAATTTTTCTCAGTCTCCATCTCTTTTTGTATTATCTGTACCACATGCATTACCTACAACCTCACCAAAAGCAACCTGTAAGTCTAGACACATAACTTTCATTATTAAGATAGCATCATGATACCAGCCAATAGATCAGTGTTGGCCTGGGATTTTCATCCTGTGTTTTCAACTTCACTGATTTAAATTTAGAAAAACATCCTCCCATAAACAATTAACAATCCAATCATGGTAAGAGTATTCTGATTAAGGTTTCTTGCCAAAATCTCTTAATGACTGTCAAAACTCTGTTGAAACTCTAATGAACAATTAGTATATACCTTGTCAAAACTCTGATATTGACAAAACCTCCAAATGCGAAACTCTAATAAACAATTAATGTGTAACCTGTCAAAACTCTGTTGGTTGATTTCTGGAGGAGTTTCGCCCACAACCTTAATTCTAATGCAGTAATATCATTGAGAATATTAATGGGTGTTTGGAAACAAGTCGAACTACAAAATACAGAAAAAGATTAACAAGAAACAAAATAGTGACATTAACCATAAACAACAGCCTTACATATTGCTATAAATCCGTTGAACCCATTGGATTGGCTAATCTCTGCTAAATTTGTATGGATTTCTTTCAGTCATGTCTGAAAATGGGTTTTTGTTGATAACATCACCCAGTTGATCAAGGTTAATATGATAATCTGTTCTTGCTTGTTTAAGAGCTAGATTATATTTATCTAATAGATATTTAATATCTTTATCAACTGGCTCCAGTAGATTTGGATGTGAATCCATAACTTTCTTTTCAGCCTTAGAATAATAACATTTGATTAATTGCAGAGAAAAACAGATTACAGCTAACTAGACATAAGCAAGACAAGAAAACTTGATCCAAGACCATTCTAAACTTTCCCACTCATTTTCATTAAATAACCCTCTAATAAGATCATGCAAATTGGGCTCATCCAAGAACACAATTACATATCATGCAATTTCATTTCCAACACCAAGAAGTTTCACATAAATTGGATTTTTTGAAGCTTGTGTATAAATACAAAAACTTGAGTGATGAATATTAACAAAAAATGTGATATATAAGAAGATTAAAGTACGGACCTCAACCAAGGCAAGTTCTTTTAAATAAATGCTTTCCACTTGATTTACATCATGCTGAGAATCCTGCAAAATACCTCTATTATCTTTATATTCATGACTTGCAGTAATAAAAACAAACTGCAATTATTATTAAGTATAAAATTAAAGAAAATGGTACAGGCTGATTATGCCTACCTTGGGTTATGAAGCATATGAAATCTCTTCTTTTTCAGTGTTTTCACTAATAGCATAAAATAAACAAAACAAAGTAAAAGTTGAAAACTACTCTGTAAATTATCAAAATTACCTCTTTTGCCATTTCTGACCAACTGCTACAAAATTTTCAGCAATCTGATTGTGCACCTTTACTGCTGCATTTATATGGTTCCGCAATTGTGCTGTCTTTATAACAGATATTTAGATATCCTAACAGATATTTAAAATAATGTCATTGAAAAAAAAGGTACCTTAATATATTCAATTTCAGCCAATCGTGTGAATATATTCTTTAATCGCTGAACTCTTTCGTTTATTCTGAATGGTGAGCTTGAGTTGTTCAAAGTATCTAGCCATCATCTTTGTGTTTTTTACATCTACAAATATAATATAAACAAGGCGAAAAAAATTTGACAGGCTGCAGCGAACGAATAGTTCAACACCCAGCTGACGAATAGTCCATTGGTGTGCCGCAGGAGGCCAAAGAGAAGGACAGACGAATAGTCGATCTCCAAGATGGACGAATAGTCTCTTGGCACAGTCCAAAATCTTTCATCTGCCTCTTAAATCATGCGCAACAGAAGAGCGAATAGAATCTTCTACATATGCACACAATTATATCCTACGCCTTTTCAGTGATAAGTTTATTGATTTCAATGTTTTCAAGACTTTTCTTAATGTGATCCAATATTCTTCTTTTGTCTTCTGCAAAGCTCTCATTTGATATATACCATTTACAAAATTCATCAGTTGTCCAATTTTTCGATAAAGTTTCTTCTAAATAACCGTTGGCTTGCTTCATATTATTAAAATTGTTTGGGAAATCAAATAAAAACAAATTTTTTTCATTCGCGTTTATTATGTAATACAATATAAAGTAATGCGAACGTTACACAGTAAGGTGATTTGTTTCTAACTCAATTATTATATCTCTAGTGTAAATTAAAAATTTCCTATTGCTGTTTCATATTGTCCAATGCCTATTTATACCAGTCAGGATTCCCTAAAAAACAAATGATCCAGATGCGTATAGTTGCACGAAATAAATAGCATAACTTTATAGGTATAACCTTGCCATTTTGTGCCCTTAACCATTCCTTAGATTTACCTGATACATCTTCATCGTCTTGTTTTTTGAATCGAGCAAAAATAAAAATAAGTACAGGCAGATTTTGATTTATTTCATTACCAAGGATCATTGTCTGTGCCACGAGGATAATAAAGAATCCGGTTCCCAATCAGTCTTTTTTTTTTATCCTTCCGCAATTCTTCAACATCCTCCAAGTATTTTTGGTTACTAATTTTTTTTGATGTTATGGAACTGTTTTTTATAAGTTTTGTTTTTATTTGAACATCTATGGACAATCAAAACGGTTAATTTATAATGCGGAAACGATAATTAAAACAAAATTAGTAATAATAAAGGAAGATTTACGAAGTCTTAAACGATAAAATTTTGTTTTAAAGGTTTACTCAAGGAACATTTTTCTTTATGGACGATGATGATGTATGTAATAAGAATCACTCAGGCAAGACATCCGTCTACCCATTTATAATAATTTAAACAATCATTTCACTTAACTCATTAGTTGAAGACAAATCACTTAAAAAAGCCTACATAGGAGCAATTGCCTTTCGATCATGGATAAAGCAATAATTTACTCTTCTTTTTTTTGGGGGGAGCTTAGTACAGTTATTACCGTGCATATTTAAAAATTGGTTTTTAATTTCTTCGAAGCCGGCGATATTCTTAACTCAAACGAAAGAATAATTATGATGACTTTTTTATTAGGAAAAAGGTATGATTATTAGATGTTGTTGTAGATGAAAGCATATCTCGTTGGTTACACGATTAAGAAATGTGACATCTCGAATTCTTCGTTTGTAAAAATTTGTTGGGAATAGCAATTTCAAAATTAACGTGTTCGTTTTATTACAATAAATAATTGAATTAATTGAATAAATAAATAATAAAATATTTTATAAAATATTTTATACAATAATTAATTAATTAATAAATAAATAATAATATAAAAAGAATGAAAGAAAAAATTATTATACAAATTGAAAATTATTTATATGCAGTGTATTTATCTCTATATATTTGTTTATCTGTAATATCTATTTCACCTACATACAGCTGGTGTTAATGTTACCCTTATAACACCATCTTCACATATTGAACCTTGTTTTCCCACTTCTTCTTCTGGATTATAATGTTCAGTTTCTGATGGTGCAATTGACTCTATTATAGAATGTGACATTGAATTGCTTGATATTACTGACAATTTATCACTTTCGTTATCATCATTATTTATATTATTGATAACATTATTACCAGCACTATTAACTTTATTCGCTAGAGCAAAAGCTTTGCGATTTGAAGGACTTTCCAAAATTTGCGAAACGGAATTTGATGATGGCGACGATGGCGACGATAAAACAGATTCATTCTTATCAGATTGTATTGTATTAGTCGCTATTATGGGTGGTGATAATGATGTCGTGGCAGGTGCCGTTGTTGTTGTTGTAGATGTTATTATTGCGGTTGTCAAAGCCCTTATTTTGCTACCTGCTTTTAATTTCTTTGTAGGCATTTCTGAATTGGCAATTATTGCTTCAAATTTTTGCATTTTTCTTAATCTATCTGCTTCTGATTGATTAATTGATGATGATGGTGATGATAGTGACGATGATGATGAATTTTGTTGTTGTGAAGAAGAAGAAAAAGAAGAAGAATCATCACCATTATTGTTATTATTATTCGCATGAGCTGCTGTTGACGTTATTCGATTGTTTGTCGCAGGTAATGCTAATGAAGATGAACTTAACAATGGAGGTTTCGGTGATGTAGGCGATAATGGTGTTATTGTTGGAGATTTAGGAGAAAGCGGGAATTGAGGTGTTGTAGGAGAATTACGTAAAGATGCAGGAGGTGTTGCTATATTATCAACTTTTAATTGTCTATTGAATAAACCTAAAATACTCATACCAATTTTATGTGTCTTTGTTACATTAATAGATGGAGAGGGTAAAGGTGTCAGTGTTGGTGTTGATGTCGGTGACGGTGACGGTGACAATGTTGGTGTTGGTGTCGGTGTTGATGTTGTTGTATGACTTTCTAAATTATCATTATTAATTTGGATAGTATTTTTTTCAAATTCTTCGGTAGGCGTAGTTTTTGTTTGTGTTGTAAATTGTGATGATGGAGATGTAGTATTTACAGATGTTGGATAAAGTTTTGATGAATTAGTAGAAGATTTATCATCTATAACAGAAACTTTTATGGTTGGTGAAAGATGATGAAAGCTTGATGATGGTTTTGCTGTTATTATTGTTGAATCATTGATATTAGTAGGTGAAGATAATGATGATGATTCTTCCAATGATATTTGTGATATTTCCAATATTTCATCATTGTCGTCATTATTTACATTATCATTAACTCTATCATTCTCATTATCATTAACTCTATCATTCTCATTCTCGTTGTCATTGTCATTGTCATTGTCATTGTCATTATCATTATCATCACCTATAACATTGTTATTGTTATTATTATTACCAGATATATCAATAGATTTTTTTCCTTCCTTTTCACGTCTACGCCTTTCACGTCTTGCTTCTCTGTCTTCCAATTTAGCGTTACTACCTTTCCTTGTTTTACGTCTTCTTGGCGGTTTTAGGTTAATATTATTATGTGATATTGTTGTTACAGGGATATTGTTGTTGGTGATTGGAGCTCCACCAAAAGATAATAGTAAACTTTGTTCTAGTAATTGACGCCTGAATATTTGAGAAGCACGATTCCCTTGGGGCAGTATAATTGATTCACGCTTTTGTTTGCGTTCTTGATCTTGATTTTTTTGTTGTAATTCGTTATTATTATTAATTTGTGAAAAACGAAATGTATCAGAAGATAAAATACTAGATGGAGGTTTTCTTGGATTGCAAGTTTGTAATATAATACGAGAAGCCATGTTGATATGAGTAGAAATTTTTCTAGAGTGTCTATTTGAATGATTTGATAAATGTCTTTTATGTTTTGATAAAGGAATAAGTGATGCATGGATAAGTTTTGGAGGATGAGGAGGACCTGGTAGCCAAGGATGTGCTTGAATATTTAATGGAGGCAGATCAGCATCCATATCAGTTGGATCATTTGTTGAAAATGGATTTGAAGTTGGAGCAGGCTCCAGAACTTTATTTTCTTTTAACGATTTCGATTTATACTTTTTTACATTAGAACGTTTAAGTTGAGAGATGGGATGCTTTGAATTATTTACATCTTGTGGTTGTTGCTGTTGTTGACGATTTCTTCTCGTGATAGTTTTATTTTTTTTATCTTCATTTAATGAAAATCTTTTTAATTTTTGTAGAATTTGTTGTTGTTCGTTCAAGCTTTTACTAGTAATGTTAAAAGAAACTCTGCGTTTGTCTGATTGATCATCAACATTTGATTTTGAAACTTGACTATCATCATCATGATCTTGTAATGATGAATCTTTTTGACTTTCATTATCACCAACTTGAACAACTTTAACTGTTGTAACAACAATTCCACTAAAGCTTGATCTTTTTTCTGTATTACTATTATTACCATTATTGGTATTATTATTTGAATTTATAAATTTTGATTCATCGTCATTGTTATTCACATTGTTTGTTATAGTTGTATTGTCATTAATTGAAACTGACATTACAAATTCAATGTTTTATTTTAAACTAAATTATAATAATTAAATATTAATCTTTGTCTAATAATAGTACATAATAATCATAACAAGGAAAAATTACTTACCTTTTTTCTTTCTCCGGAAAAATTTCAAAGAAATCGATTGGCTTGAATCTAAAAAGATTAAAAAAACTATAATAGAGAAAATTAAAATTAAGGAATCAATGTTAAAATTAATCTTTTTTTTTGATTGATGAATATTATCATCATCTATCCATAATTCTTTATATTTCAATTTAAGTAATTTGTGAAAATCACAAAGACTTTTCTCTCTATAAAATAAAAAAAGGATACGATAGTTGTTTGATGAATGAATAAAGATGGTATGATATTCTTTGTTTTTTAAATTTATAATAAAAAAAGGTATAAATGAGTGAAATTTTCAATATTCCGCGAATATTTTTTATGAAAAAGAAAAGAAGGATACAAAAATAAAAAAATAGAAAATTCAATTGTTTTAATTAAAACTAATAGAGTTTAAATTTAAAAATTGACGCACAACATTTAAAAACGAACAAATATAATTTATGTAATACAAGGGATAATTTGTTACACTATTAATATGACGTGAATATCTTTTCATAATAAAGGTATCACTCATAAAAGAGACATTAAAGACATAAAATATAATTAATCCTAACCACAAAGAGGCAAAATTGTAGTAAGTGATATTGACGCCTTAAAGGAAAATATTCTGAAAAGTCAATGTTATTGAAATAACTATCAGAGAAAGATCCTTGCATTTAAAAGATTTTGTAAATCTTCAAAGATTAAATTCTCATTAGGGTTATTCAAAGGCAAAATTACTAGTATAGATAGATATAAGTAATTGCCCTAATTTAGATGTCTATCATATAACAATAGCTAGTTTAGACATTAATCATTTGTTGTGGAAATCTGCACATTATTCTAGATTCAATTTAAAAATTTTATTTTGCTCATGAAATAATAGAGCAGATTTGGACCTAAGCAAGAGCAGGAGGGAGTCTATATAAACTTAATTGTCACAAGATAAATACTATCTAATATAAAAGTAAAGGAAAGTGATCATGTTAAGCCTGATGGTAAAACCAAAGAACAAATTATATTGAGCTACCAAAAAAACGCAGAGCAAAAGATAAAATATTTCATATTAATATAAACCAAAGAAAAGTTATTTTGTAATAGGAGGAGTATTTATGACAAATTTGCTAGTTACCAAGAAAAGGAAGGTTTCTAAGAATTCAACTATAAAATTTAAAGTAGAGGTCTACGCACGTGCCATCAAAATTGTTTTTGGCCCTGTTACACAAAAAAGTCAATTGTCTGTATTAATCTGTACTAACTCGAAACATAATAAATTATTTGTTTATTATTAATAAAGGCGTACGTAACCAATCATTATTCCACAGAATTACTGGTGCCATTTTATCTAAATAACTAGATGATCGAACCTTTAACATGTATAAGTATGTTGTAAATTTCTTTTCTTCATATAATCTTCAGTTCAGTTAGTTTTATCTTTATCTTGTAACAACCATAATATCTTAATAAAATGCGAACATAAATATCTCCTAACTTAAACTCTTGCCAGTGAAGTAAACCATTTGCTCCAAAACAAACCTAACTAATTAATTAATTACTATCTTACCGGGGGGACGCCTTTGATAAGTATAGTTGTGTGTGTATATATTTCTTTTAATTTTATTTCTTTATTTAGATTAGGCCAATGCCTAAGAGAAGTGAAAACCTAGCTAGGTGCGGTCAGTCCAGATACTGAGCCTAAAATATAACTAACGGATAAGCCTTAAAAGAGCCAAGGTGGATATTTAGAAGATTAAATATCTTTGGGATGTTGGAAGGATTGGTTAGACGTTGGAAGGATTGGTTTGACTATAATGAATACGTATTTGTTTTTCTGAATATTTTAAATATTTGGGGCGATTTTCATTAGTTGATCAGTCAGATGGCCAATCACAGCTGCGGAAATAATTAATTGGGGATCTCAAAAAAGGTCTAAATGTAAAAAATGCGCATATGTTATTATTATTATATCAATATTAGATTATCAGATAAATTCATACTTTCTTTCAGTGTGCTGACATTTTTTTTGATTTCGACTTGAAGATAGTCCAAGATATCAAAAATTTAGATTGACACCTTTGTAGAGAATGATTGTGATAACATGAGTACACTACAATATACGTAATTGCAAAAAATGTTTGTAGATGATTTCCTAGAAGTAACAAAGTTTTAGTTATTAAAGGATACTGATTTTATGCTTGATATACTGGTAGTATCATATTGTCTCTGGACATGAATCTACGATAATCGTCAACATTCAACAAGAATGTACTTTTAAATATTTTGTAAGTGCATTTTCTGCATATTTCTCATGTTCATCTGCAACTTGCTTCTTTTTACGATCTACTGCTCTTGATGTTGTAGTTGCTCCAATACTTGTATCTACCGAGTCTAAATAGAATGCAAGATCGAGCTTAAAAGAGTTAATTTTTGTATTATTTAATAAAACAAGAAGATAACACATGAACACCACCATTAATCTCTTCATAT